ATTAGCTCGATGTTCACTCTTTACAGTGAAATTTGATCCACTTTCAAGAATTTAGGAGATTATAATAAGAATTATAATAATAAGATTAATTAATATTTAGAATAAAAGAACGGAAAAAATAAAACGAGCGTCAATAAGTTGTGACACGTTGCAATCAGAATAAATGTTATAATGAAAAGAAACGCTCCTCTTTTAAAATAATATTAATAAAATTCTAATTTACAATTGTTAATAAATAAACTGATAACTGATAATGATTAATAAAGCCATTCGATCGAGTTTTTCGATTCTTTTCAAATATTTGTTCTTAAAACGCAGTTCGTATATTTGTCTTTTCCTCGTGTCTGAAGTCAGGTATGTACGTGACGCACTGCTCTAGATTGTGCCTAACTTCACTTCAGGCGGACGCAGACGCAACTCAACAGCGGTCGACGTGACGTGACGTTCGTCTTTGTTTACTGTTTGTATATATGCGCTTTCTATTCGCTACTTGCTTACACTCGCAGCGATTGTTACTGACAATCAACTCTGATATGCGTGTGTGTTAATTAATATTAATTTGTAGTTTTGAGAAAGAGAGAGACAGATAAAGATGTTCTTTGTTTGAAGGGCATGATCCACTATCAAAATATCTAGGTTCGTTACATTTTTTATCGTAATCGTCGACTTGAAGAATTGCATTTCTAAAAGTTGATGTATAATTATAATGCAAAAGTGATATAAGATCAAACTTGCGGTATCATGCATTTTTCTGCGATATTGTTCAATGCCAAGGAGATTATTTTTTATAGAATAATCTTGTGTATATGATGTTTTAATGTATCTGTGAAATCTTATCTTTATTTATGATAACGGTACACATGTATTGTTATTGTTTTTTTGTTATAATCTATTTTTTATTTACTGTCGTTTCTTTTGTCCTTCAGATTTAAGAAAATTATTAGTTTCCAAAGATGTCTGAAATAATAAGATTCACAAAGTTGAAAACGGCAACAGATCCAACATTTTGGGCCAAATTTGCAGAATTGAAAATAGACAAGTTGAAACTAGATGAAAAAATCAAGATACATGTGTGGGGAAGTTTTTCTCTTCAATCGATGGATGAAGGAAGGACTAACCCATTAATACTTGATTGTACATCATTTAATGAGTAAGTATTACTGGCATAAGAATATGATTTATTAATTATTAATATGATTTAATGTTTTTTTAAGGAAATATAGATTAAACAATATTTTGCAATGTAATTTGCATGTGTATTAATAATAACTTAATAATAATATCCCTAGTAGCACAATTATTAGCAAATATTGTTCAAATATTAGCTGAATATATTATACCTGTAACATTTAACTAAAATAGTATCAATAAATTGCTACTAAAGTATAAATAATAATATATAGTTAATATTGTGTTTAAATTCTATGTCAATGTAATAAACAGGGTAAGCTCCATTTAGATGAGTTTCAGAAACTTGGAAACAACTTCTCACAATTCTCGAATAGCATGCTGTGGCTATATGATTAACATGAATACCTATGAAGCATTCAGACAGATAAATCCTGAGAAGTTTATCGATACCATGGGTAAATGCATTATTGATAGTATCAAAGATGGTACAGCCTTGCAAAAGCCTTCGCGGCTTTCGATATTCTTAATATTTGCATATTCGGATCTCAAGAAGTATAAGTTTCATTATTGGGTTGCACATCCAACTCCTTTCTCATTCCCGGAAACTTATTTGGTCGCACCAATGAAATACGCATCTGGCGAATTTACGTCCAATCAAATAGATAAATTACATACAAGCTTTCTTCAACTGGATGCAAAATCGAGAAACTTCTTCACAGTTTTTGTATCTGGAAAGAATGATTTGAATGTTGATAGTTTGTCTAAGGGAGTTGAATATATAAAACTAAGCGTTAACAACAAAAAAGGTTCAGAACAGGTACATTTTGACGAAGTTATGCTCTTATTCTTCATTTTTTTATTTTATTCAAAAAATAAAAGAATCTTTTGTTATTTTTATTAATAATTTAAATTTATCTTTATTCGATAAAGGAGGAGGTATACTTTGCATTTTATGATCCTTGCGCAAGTGCAGAACCTGGATGGCCCTTACGAAATCTTTTGTGCCTATTATTATGGCATTGTCCTACATATTGCTTTACATGCGACATCAAAGTTTTGTCCATAAGGAGTGATAAAATACAAACTGCAGTTATATTTACACTTAGAGTCAAAGAAAATAAAGATATAGAAATCATGAGAGAAACTATTTTTGAAGGACATTTAGTAGGATGGGAAGCTAATATAAATGGAAAAATGGGTCCTAACATCGCAGACTTATCCAACATTATGGATCCTAGCAAGTAAGTTTAAGTTTTTCAAGTCGACGATTTTTATGTACAAAAATTAAAAAATGCTATTTATATTTGTTATGTTAGACTATCAGACAGAGCGATCAATTTAAATCTGAAATTGATGAAATGGCGCCTTGTTCCTGATCTAGATTTGGAAAAGATCAGTGGTCTACGATGCCTTCTCTTGGGTGCCGGTACACTTGGATGTTCCGTGGCAAGAGTACTTCTTGGCTGGGGTATTAATAATATGACGCTCGTAGATAGTTCTACCGTTTCGCACAGCAATACTGTGCGCCAAAGTCTGTATACACATGAAGATGCAGTACAACGCCGACACAAAGTACATGCCGCGAAAGATGCTTTACTTAGGATACGTCCTAGTATGGTAAGTATACGTCTATTAAACTTGTTGCATCGTGAGACGATATTTCAAAGAAAGTTATTCAATTCAGTCAATAAATCACTTATGCAGAATGTGGAAGGTGTGGTCTTGCATATTCCCATGCCTGGTCATGTAGTCGGCCAGAGTATGATGGAAATGACTAGGGAGGCTGTGAGTAAACTTCAAGAACTCGTAAATAATCACGACGTGGTGTTTTTGCTTCTGGATTCACGTGAAGCTAGATGGTTGCCAACCCTGTTGTGTGCCGCAACGAATAAAATAGCTATCAACGCTGCTTTAGGTTTCGATTCGTATACGGTACAACGACATGGTATGCGCAATCTATCTGATTCTGCCTCGCCTAATTTAACGATACAGAACCCTGCAGGACATGATCTTGGATGTTACTTTTGTAACGATATAACGCAACCTGGAAACGTGAGTACATATTTTCTTTTAACATCATTAAGTCCCGGAAAAAATTTATAATATAAATCACCTTATAAACTAATTTAAACAAGATATATTTTATAATTCTGTGATTGTTATTTTTATTCTAGTCACAAACTGATAGAACGCTCGATCAGCAATGTACCGTAAGTCGGCCAGGTTTATCGCAAATCGCTGCAGGTCTAGCGGTTGAATTACTTATGGCAGTAACACAGCATTTCCAAGGGTAAGTTAAATTGTAATGTAGATGGTTTAATAGTTCAATTTTTTATAATTTTTTTTAGAATTTTAGCTAGAGCGCTGATGAATAACGACAGGGACGATTGTCGAGAGAATGTCGACAATCCGCTGATAGGATTATTGGGTGGCGTACCTCACACGATACGAGGCTCGCTTTGGGGCCACGAAATGAAACTGACTGTCACCCATAGATCTCCATTTTGTACAGCTTGCTCGACACCTTTGATCAAGGAGTATCAACATCGCGGTTTTGCTTTTGTACTTGACGCTTGCAACACGCCAAATTATCTCGAGAAATTATCAGGACTCGAGGAAATACTGAAAAGACCAGATCTGGATGAGGTATATAATGATATGCGTAAACAGTCAAGTTGTATATAAAGTATTACAAAAAATAGTTAAAAATTTTGAAACATTATTTCTATGTTTATATAAATTAGCTTTAAAATCTTTTTTACTTTAATAAATAAAAATTAATATATTTTTATTGCTTTAACATATTAAATAATCCATTTGTATTTGATGTTACATAACATCTGTATTTTTCAATTTTTAGTTATGCTATACAATTGATAGTTCAAGCGAAGACGAAGGACCGTGAAAAAGAAGCCATTAAATGATATGAACAAAATGATAAAATGCGTACAAAAAGAAAATGAATGAATCTTGGACATAAGTTAATATATAATATATTGCACAGTTTTTATATAAATATACACACATATGTAACACATTTTATGCAGAATGTCATTTTGAAGAAAAGCACATTTAAATTAATCAAAGTTATAGTGTATTGAATCAAAACTTTTAACGAAAATTGTTAATATAAGAGAGATATATGTATATGAGAGATATATATGATGAAAGTCTTTGTGCTTCTTCAAGTTTGCAAAATTGTCCGTGTTGCATATTTTATTTAAAATCGACGTATTAAGTATTATCTATGTGATGTATGATTTTATCATTATTATTATAACATTCAAATTTATCTAATGTTAAATAAATTCTTTTACTGTGAGCAATAACATTTTTTGTTCTTGAAATATTATAATCCTTAATGTGTCTGTATAATTACTTCTAATTTTTATCTTACAATTACAGAAATATATATACGTGATCCATATTTTAATCAATATAAGATATAATAATTAAATAAAAGCCATAATTTTTATATTATTATATATATATATATCTCTCCTAATTGTTAGAAAATAATTAAACGTCTTGGACATATAATTTATGATTTTTTTATAAGTTTCATCACTTTTAAATGTAAGTTATTCATATAATACGTCATTAATTTAATTTTATGTTATGTGAATCTTTTTATTATAGTGATTTTAATTATAATATACATGTTAATTATAAATATACATTATTATAAGTATATTAATTAAAAATATATTAATTTACATATTACTTATAAATATATATGATTATGTATATGTTTATTTAATTGAATAAAAAAATATATTAGAATATTGTTTCAATTGCAACATAAACTCGAGTTTTTAAAAATACCGCGAAGTCGTTCGATTTTATTGATCATGTCCGCCTTTCGCAGGCGTACAAGCGAGTGCTCACATCTGGAGTGCCTTAATACGTCAATACGAATATTTATCGCACGCGAGACGTTCGCGCAATTTCGCGACAGAATGTGATTTACGTGATATCCAAAATCCACGGACTTCAAGAAAAAGAAATAGACGGAAAACTAGTACACGTGAGGACTTGAAGAGTGAACGCCCCACCATCGTCTGAGAATCCTTCGGACGTGAGAAAGTGCACGGTTCCTTTTTTTAAGGTTTCTGTTTTGAACTTTGAACTGCGTAATCAGCGTGATTAGCAGATCGTTCTACGCCGATTGTAAACGCAATAATCTTCAGAGAAATAAACGTTCGAGAAGAAATAGAAATTCGAGAACGATGGCACCAGGACGGAGTAACGTTGTCAATAGTAATCAGCTCAGGAATTCTAGCTTTTCAACCAGGTAAGACATCGGCGTCTCTATAGGAAATAATCCTCAGAATCATGGTGATATCACAAGACATTTGTCTGATCACTTTGCTGATCGACCGAATTCTGCATCAATATAATCTTTCAACATTCGATCATATTCTGTTTTGACGTCTTACTCCTTATAATTGTTTACCTTTAGCAATAGAAAATATAAAAAAATGTGGAGGAAAATAAAAAAGGATGTATCTAGAATAAATATACACTTTGAATATATTTGATTATTTTTTGTAAACTTTTAATCTTTTAATTATAAGGTTATATTAGGCCTGTTCTTTTTAGTTAGATTTCTCGCACGGTTCAGCTTTCCTCTTTTTCTTTTCACATTGGAGAGAAAAGATGAACTGCGTGTAAGAATTTAAGTTCAGCTAAAAAGGATAGGCCTCTTGACGTTTTAATATACAGCTTTCTTGATAATCATTTAATAATATTCTTTTATACATTTGAAAATAAATATACAGATTACAGTTTTCTACTCCACAAAGAAAGTGGTTAGATTAATGCCCATCTTAATGATATTTGAAACAAACAATGAAGATTTTGATTCTGTTCAGCATGCCAGGATCACACTCATCCTTTCAAACTGGAGCTGGGGCCATTCCACCTCCATTGCCGCCTCGCCAACCAGTTCAAAGTTATTTAGGATACAACGATTATAGACCATACAGTTCGAATTATGGTTACAGCAGTTATGGATATGGAGGTTACGGAGGTTACAGAGGTTACGGTGGATATGGATCTTTTGGTAGTTACATTCCCTATTCTGGTAACAGCTATGGACAAATTGGAGGACACAGTGGTGATGTGGAGAACAGGTATATTGGAAAAGGAGGTCATCTATAATTATCTAATTTAGACTACTGAGATATAAAATAATGAAAGAGAATAAAAATGTAGAACTTTTTTAATTAATATTATATCATGTTTAATGCCTGTTCTGCCATAGAATCGTAATCATAAGTCATAAGAAATTGGTCAATTATTGTTAAATATGAAAAGAATAATATATATGAATCAATTATGATTGGTTGATTTCTTAAGGTTTATGGCTTTTAACCCTATTGTAGAATAAGCTTAAGAAACATAGCAATTCAGTCTTGATAAACTCAAGAAAAAGTATAAATTATACAGTCACACACAAAAAGGACAGATCTAATGTAAATTCAATTATTATAATTAAACCCTCCTATGAGTTATCATTTTAAATTCTTGTTTGAAAAAGTATAATCTTCAGTCATATCCAAGGTTCTTGTACTAATGTTCATTTCTACCAATATAAATTAACTTCCATCTCTGTTTAATGTGTCTAATTTTAATTAACTTTTCATCTTCATCTTGTTTTAAGAGACCAATATTCATAGTCAGTTTTTATTTCGAAATCATCTTAAGTAGGTAATGTTTCAAGATGTTTATACGTCGTTCTTACGATTGGTTTATGATGTTTTGAGAATGAGAAAAAGATAAAGAATAAATTAAACCGAGATTGAAATTAAATTACAGTAATAGAAATTACGATTCTAAGATAGAAAACATAAAAGAGTTTACTTTTCATATTGCAGGTTTCAACAATATGCAGAGGAAAGTACAAGATCGACTTTTCGTGTAGTAGAGACTGTATTACACACATTTTCGTCCCTCACAATGTTACTGGAATCAACATATTTTGCATTGACAAATTCCTTCCGTGCGATTTTAAGCGTGGCTGATAATATTGGAAGACTGCGGTCAACAATCGGTCAATTATTAAGCACGTTTGCTTTAATCCGCGTTATGAAATGGATCTATAGAAGGATTTTATTTATGCTTGGTAAGCTTTTTATATGACCAAAACTTTTATCTTTATTTACATAATTTATTATTTAATAATTATTGCTAGGTCTTCAATCGCAAAATACTGTCGAAGACTTGTGGCAGCAATCAATATCGCAACTAACAAACAGAGAACAAACACCGATAACGATGATGACGACGACGACGACAAACGAAAAGATTTCTCCTTGGATGAATATTTTACTCCTCGGTGTATTTGTCGCCATTCCATATCTAATTCACAAAATAACGAGTAATATAAGGCAAAATCAAATAAAAGGTAATTATTTTGCATCTCTAAGGATATTTTAAATCTAAATAAATACGAAATAAATTTTTACAAATAACGATCTATGTCTTCCGTCACTAAATTTTTATGCTTGAAAAATGTCTAATCATGTTTATAAAAATTTTACAAAAAATATACAATGCAGTTTGTAAATAAACTAATTTTTTTCACTGTAATTTCTGTTTTCAAGATATGTTTTGATACTTTATATATTTTATTATATATTAAATTTACAGTTAATGATCCGAAAGAATGGGTGAAATGCGAGGATCCAGTATGCGTGGCAACAGCGATGTACGATTTCATGGCGGTTTCTAATGAGGAATTGAGCCTAAGAACTGGTCAAAAAATATGGCTGGCGCCGCGTTCCCTGCAATCTAAAAGTATACCAGGTTGGTGGATAGCCACCGACAATAGGAACGTCGGTTTGGTACCCGCTAATTATGTAACTATTGTCGGACAATTGAAAAGAAAACCAGAATCGGAAAGCAATGGAAATGTTATTACATCTACGGTAATACCAACTTCCATGCAAAATACGACCGTTTCTGACGAACAGATGAATACGGTAGAACCTAGTACTAACCAACAAGATACAGACTTCTCTGAGAATAATATTAAAGATGATTTATTTTAGTCTAAGTTAATTGGAAGATCTCGATCTAAATCATTCAAATAGTCGCGAAATGATATTGTCTACTTTAAATATATGGCCTACTCATACATCTTTATATAGAACATGACTGATATGAAGTAATATTACAAAACGCGTCGTATTTACTAGATACTAAATAAAACGCAGTGAATTTTTTTCAAAACGTGATTAAATTATGTCACAATCGATTTACTTAAGACTTAATGATTTATTTCTATTAGGAAAAAGAGCTCACAAATTACCATAAAATACGATTTTGCTGTTTTTATTTTACATAGTAATATATGTATATGTATATATATATTATCTTTCTATATATTAAGTTACCCGAATAAAGAGGAGTTTGTAACATTTCTATTTGTACATATTAAAAATGTATTTGTACATATTAAACAAATTTAATTCGATATTTAATAAAAAAAAGAAAGAACTGTTTTACAAACGTATGTAAAAATTGTTTTTAATGAATTTCTAAAAATGTACGAGATGTTTCGATCTCGCAATTATATTTAGTTGCAATAACATTCATGTTTGTTGAATATTTAAACTTTATGTCAAAATTTTATAAACAGTGATAACAAAGAGCGTAACATCCTACGCTTGAAGAAAAAATATATATTAAAATCTTTAGATATAAAATTGTACACATACGTTTCGACAAAAATTTAGCCATCTTCAGTATTAATAAGTCATTAATAAGTTTTAAATGTAAAACTGCTTAAGTCAATCAATATAACCATATATTTATAAAATTAAAAAATATTAATAATATATCTCAAAAACGCACGTTAGGAAGAGTTTATCTCAAATTTTATGATTTTTCATTTACATAATTAATTGCAACTGTTTGCTCATAAAACAAGAGGAATTAATAAATTGCATGTCACAAGCTCCCTTTAAATATTTACAATTTAATGTTACAATCTTATATGTAAAAGGAAGCACAGAGCGATAAAATTGCGTTTGTACTTGGAAATCAGATAGATGGCATACAAATTATCTGCAATATTATGTCAATAGATTGTTTAAAAATATGAGATTGGTTTCGGAATTGCAGAATCTCTGATATATTTGACATCGAAAATCGGTGATGACACACAGTTATGAATTTATATAAATCCAAAATATATAATTTTATTTACAAATCCTATATCTAAACGTATATGTAATTTGTAATCTACATAGACTTCAATATGTGATAAAAAATTAAACTGCTTTAATTAGTAAAGCAGTTTGCCTTTTTTGTTGCCGAATTAAAAAACTCGATAGAAATGCGCTGAAGAATAGACACGGATGTTCGGAAAAAAAATTATGATATTATTTTTAACATGTGCAATTAGAGTTTTGTACATTTTGTAATATTTTGATTGTACAACTACTTTTTCTACTAGCTTCATATAGTATTTTATGAGAGCAATTTAAAAAATTATGTATATATATATAATATATATATATATATATATATAGGCACATTTTTTTCGCAAATGAAAATTTAAGCTATTGAATTTGCGAGATTCAACAGTCCTAATTCTTCAACGTTGAGAATGTTTCTATTTATGGCGTTTTGAATAAAATTGATTAAATTTTATTATATGCTAGATGATATATGTTAAAAAATATATATTGTTAAAATTTAAAAAATAATTATATTTTGTTTGAAGAATAACGAGAATTGACTTTTATCTATAATTTATTGAGTAAAAAATATTATTATGTAAAAAATTTAATAAAATATTTTTTATCAGTGGCCTGCCTGTAAATATGAGTTTGAGAAGCAGAAGTTGTATCGAACAAAACCTAATTAAAAACAATCCCATAAAATTTAGATAAGCATGTACCGATTTCAATTATTACACACAAGATCAAATAAAAAATATATAACGTTTTCCACTGGGAAAACTAATGCACACTAAGTCCAATTGAATGCAAATAAATTTACATTCAGAATGCATCAGTGTTGAACTAGTTTTCCCAGTTGAAAATGCTAATAATTATGGACTCTTGAATGCTCATTGTTAAAGAAATTATGATTGTCTGAGTTTTTAAAACTAACATGCGCATACATGCATACATTCACATGCACATTTATAGAGAACAGTTTTCTTGTGAAACATTTATTTTCCAAATCCCAAGAAGTTTAAACTTGGAATATATAAGGCATACAGCGAACAACACGTAGATATCGTAATATTTTGCAAACAGCACCTGTATATTATCATATTTTATAAGATTTTTTACCAAAATTTTCATAAAATATATACGCCTTTTCGATAATCTTACGAAATTAAAGATTTGGCCAAAAATTTGTAAAATAAAATCTCTAGATAAAAAATGACATCATTATTTGAAAAATCTTCGGTAGTGATGCAATACAATACAAAAATTGCACACTATTTTGGAATAATCACATTGTCAATTTTAAAGAAATTTGTTTATATTGTTCTTCAATTACATAATTACCTTAAATTAATAAAACATTAATCTCCACTCATAAATTATAATTTAAGAATAAATTTTTATACACGCTCATGTCATTGATTTTGTTTAAATTTTAGCGTAATAACAAAATTTGCTAATTCACGAATTTTACGACTTAAATGACTAAGATGGTTAAAATTGTTCTGAAAGTTAATTGATATAATTTCAATACAATTCCAAATAGATAATTGCTAGATATTAAATAAAAATCTAAAAATTAAATGAAAAATACGTTATAACACTTAACAATATTTTATTCTAAAGATTTTGAGTAAAACAAAAATTAAGTTTTATCACTTACACAATCAATTTAAACTTTCTCAACGAAATACCGATAATAATCTCTTAAATGCTGAATTGTTCTCTATTGCTGCTAAATGAACTTATTAATCCTGGTAACATTAATAAGACACATTTATTATTCCAAATCACATATACGAACCGTGATTTTGCAATCTTTTAAAATCCTTCAACTCAAGCATACGTACGATATCGTTTTTTTCCATAAATAGAAAATGGAAGTCCTCAACTTCCTTTCACATGAAAAAGTTTATAATTGAGAATTTCAAAATATATATTATATTATATGTATATAATATATGTGTATATATTATGTATATATCGATAGAATACACAATTTTCACATTCATTATCCGGATGTTAGTGGCTCTAGATCCACTAATCGATATGATGCTTTCGCCAATATATATATCATTCAGTCAATATATATACATAATGTACTCCTGCTCCAATTAAGTTCATTCATTTGCTAAAAAAGCTAACTAATCCGTCGTGGATTGTTTTATAATAATTGTTTTATAATTGTTTTATATAGAAGGAATCTCGGCCACAAGCAAGTTTCCACTAACGTATGACTAACAGTAGGAGATTCTTGTACAATTTTTGAACTTACATATACGTAATTTGAACTATATGAAAATTATATGAATTAACTCTTTATGTTCCTTTTGATTTTCGGTCTTAAATTTTCTTAAATAAAAGAAAAATGTAATTAACAAAATAATATAGAATATTCAAGATTGAATGATAGTAACAGAATAAAAGAATAAAATCTAATTTATATATTATATTATATTAAATTATATTATAATATAATATATTATATTTTTTACGTTTATAATATAGTAATATTTTTAATGTTTGTGACTTATTTACTTTCAATAAGTAGAATCGGCATGTCTAAATATCTCGAATATCCTGCTATTCAGAGGGCTACAGATATAACACAAAATTAACAATATGATGTTTGTAATATTGTGATAATGTTCGTCATTTTTTGTTCTCCTATACTTCATTTATTCTTGCCTGTGGCAGCATCATGCAATCGATAGAAGAATCATCGTAGAAACTATCGGTATTTCTCATATTAACCAAGTTTCACGTGAACACATCATCAAGTTGCCTTTATATGCAGTCTCCCTGAGTCGAGCTTACTGTGGGCAACACGATATTCACATCGCACTTAGAGTTACCATTCAGCGTCCCCGTTTGCCTTTTGGAACACATAATCTTTCCCACTTAGATTCATTATACCGTCCTTCAGATAAAATTTCCACTTATTCCGACTCCTTGTAATCTGAAAGTAAACGTTATCGCATGTGACTCCGAGTTGAAATATCGTAATGTGTAGAATATTACATTTTATCGTAAACTTAAATATGAATCACTATCATACCTTATCGTACTGACAGACGACTACATTATCGGTGTCGAAGAGATCAGCAGGATCGTCATCCGTAACGTCATCTTCGGAATTAAGTGGTTCCTAATACATTAAGTCTCTTGTGAGACAATCACTCAATTTACATGAAATTTATGTACAGGGTGAGGCATTTAAAACAGGTCACCTGAATAACTCACTTGTTTTTAACAATAGAAGGACAAGTATCAAACAAAAGTTGCTTGGTTTCGAGAGGCACATAATGTGATATCAATAATTGTTTTGTAGGTGGAGGCGTAAAGAATAGATAAAGGTCAAATCTGTCTTTTTAAATGGAATGATGTTTTTTTATTTACATTCTAATAGCGCATTTTAAGACGAATACAGTAACCTATAATTGAATGGAAAATAAATTGTTTCAAGGCACTCTTGCGAAATGCGTTATACGAAAGCGGAAAAAGTCGATATGATTTTCATCCATAATGATCTATATATTTCGCAAGACACGCACTTCAATCGATAGATAAATTCAATTTGATCAGTAAATATGGATAATGCTATATGCGATTCAATGTTTATTTACATACCGTGATATACTTGAACAATTAGTGGTATACCAACTAGCAGAGAAGACACGACATTATTCAAAGAGTGTCTTGAAACAATTTATTTTCCATTATTAATCTTGCGTAACCTTGAATGACCTTCAATTATAGATCACTGTATTCGTCTTAAAATGTTCTATCAGAATGTAAATAAAAAAACATCATTCCATTTAAAAAGATAGATTTGACCTTTGCCTATCCTTTATGCCTCCACCTACAAAACAATTATTGACATCACATTATGTGCCCCTCGAAACCAAGCAACTTTTGTTTGATACTTTTCCTTCTATTGTAAAAAACAAGCGAGTTATTCA